ATGCTAACGTTTGTTGCGAGTGTGTGTGTGTGTGTGTGTGTGTGTGTGTGTGTGTGTGTGTGTGTGTGTGTGTGTGTGTGTGTGTGTGTGTGTGTGTGTGTGTGTGTGTGTGTGTGTGTGTGTGTGTGTGTGTGTGTGTGCGTGCGTGCGTGCGTGCGTGCGTGCGTGCGTGCGTGCGTGCGTGCGTGCGTGCGTGTGTGTGTGTGTGTGTGTGTGTGTGTGTGTGTGTGTGTGTGTGTGTGTGTGTGCGTGCGTGCGTGTGTGTGCGTGTGCGTGTCTATAAATACCACTTAAAGAGTTTGTCTTGCGTTTCAGAGAGGCAGCTGAAGCTGAAGCATGTGTTCCCTGCAGGGCTGAATCACACCCAACCAGCAGCTGAATCTTCTTCATCATCATCATCATCATCATCATCATCATCATCATCATCATCATCATCCTCACCATCATCATCATCATCATCATCATCATCATCATCATCAACATCCTTGGAGAGGCTGGTCCTTGGACACCTCCGGCCCCTTGTGAGACCATCAATGGACCCGCTGCAGTTCGCCTACCAGCCTGCCATCGGGGTGGATGACGCCGTCATCTACCTGCTGCAGAGGTCCCTCTCCCACCTGGAGAAGGCGGGGGGGCACTGTGAGGAACATGTTCTTTGATTTCTCCAGTGCCTCCGACACCATCCAGCCCCCGCTCCTGGGGGACAAGCTGCAGCTCTCGGGGGTGGATCATCACCTCACCTCCTGGATCCTGGACTACCTCACCAACCGCCCTCAGTACGTGAGGACCAGGGAGTGTCAATCAGACACCATCATCAGCAGTACGGGGGCCCCCCAGGGGACGGTGCGGGCACCGTTTCTCTTCACCCTCTACACTGCAGACTTCACCCACAACACTGCAACCTGTCACCTGCAGAAGTTCTCTAACGACTCCGCCATCGTTGGCCTCATCTCCAACGAGGACGACAGGGAGTACAGGGAGCTGACGCAGGACTTCACCCTCTGGTGCCAGAGGAACCACCTCCAGGGGAACCAGCTCCAGAGGAACCACCTCCAGAGGAAACACCTCCAGAAGAACCACCTCCAGAGGAACCTCCTCCAGAGGAAACACATCCAGAGGAACCACCTCCAGAGGAACCTCCTCCAGAGGAACCACCTCCAGAGGAACCACCTCCAGAGGAACCTCCTCCAGAGGAACCTCCTCCAGAGGAACCACCTCCAGAGGAACCTCCTCCAGAGGAACCACATCTGAGGAACCACCTCCAGAGGAAACACCTCCAGAAGAACCACCTCCAGAGGAACCTCCTCCAGAGGAAACACATCCAGAGGAACCACCTCCAGAGGAACCACCTCCAGAGGAACCCCCTCCAGAAGAACCACCTCCAGAGGAACCACCTTCAGAGGAACCCCCTCCAGAGGAACTTCCTCCAGAAGAACCTCCTCCAGAGGAACCACATCCGAGGAACCAGCTCCAGAGGAACCCCCTCCAGAGGAACCTCCTCCAGAAGAACCACCTTCAGAGGAACCCCCTCCAGAAGAACCTCCTCCAGAGGAACCACATCTGAGGAACCACCTCCAGAGGAACCACCTCCAGAGGAACCCCCTCCAGAAGAACCACCTCCAGAGGAACCCCCTCCAGAGGAACCTCCTCTAGAAGAACCACCTTCAGAGGAACCCCCTCCAGAAGAACCTCCTCCAGAGGAACCACATCCGAGGAACCAGCTCCAGAGGAACCAGCTCCAGAGGAACCACCTTCAGCTGAACGCAGCGAAGACCAAGGAGCTGGTGGTAGATTTCAGACGGCGCCAACACTCCCCCCCGACACCAGTGAACATCCAGGGAGCAGACATTGAGATTCTGAAATCTTACAAATACCTGGGTGTTCATCTGAACAATAAACTGGACTGGACTGATAATTATGCTGCTCTGTACAAGAAGGGACAGAGCAGAGTCTTTCTGCTGAGGGCTGGTCTTTCGGGGTGCAGGGGGCACTCCTTCAGACCTTCTTTGACTCTGTTGTGGCATCAGCCATTTTCTATGGTGCGGCCTGCCGGGGAAGCAGCATCTCGGTTGCTGACGGGAAGAGACTGAACAGGAAGAGACTGAACAGACTGGTAAGGAAGACCAGCTCTGTCCTGGGAAGTCCTTTGGACACTGTGGAGGTGGTGGGAGACAGGAGAATGGCAGCCAAGCTGTCCTCCCTGCTGGACAATATGTCCCACCCCCTCCAGGACACCCTGTCCTCACTGGCTGCTGCACCCCACCTGCCACACGGAGAGATACCGCAGGTCCTTCCTTCCTGCAGCGGTCAGACTTTACAACCAGCACTGCCCCTAGTAGACCCTCCTACACATACCACAACACAGACTATCACCCCTTTCTGCTAAATACCAATCAACTATGTGCAATATGTGCTATATGTGCAATATATAAATTATTATATACATATGCCATTAATAACTGTGTAACATATACCTGGCTGCTAAATCCTAAGAACTGTAACAGGATTTATATTTTGAAAAGTATTTTCTTTTTTTTTAACATATGTAACATTAAGCTGTCTGTGGCTCTTTCCTGCTGTAACAATGCAAATGTCCCCTCTGGAACTAATAAAGGTATTCTGATTTTGATTCGTCTGGTTCCCTGGTTCCCTTGTCTTGTTTTTTTTATACATGTTTTACACAATATTAAGATATTGAAGTTTTGATTTACGACATAAAATACATCAGTAATACCCCACTGGTGAATGTCTAAGCTTCTATGTGTCTTAAAAATGGAGGTTGACATTAGCCACCTTTAGCTTAGCATTGCTTAATGTGATGTTTATGTAGTTTGTTTCTAGCCTAACGTTAGCTCTTACACGTTTGCCTTTGCATTAATGCTTCAAACATCCAAAAAGTGGTGTTAATATATGGAGATTATACTTATTATCAAAGCCTGCAAGTATAAGTGTTTGCCAGATATCTTTTCCTCCAAAATTCCCAAAATCGAAAAATTCCATAGCTTTTTGTCACCTGAGCCTTTGCACTGCTTAAAATTCCTCCAAAATATTTCATCCCTACACAGCTCTATGGAAGAGGACAGATAATTAAAATCGGAAAATAAACAAAGACAGGAAGTAAAAACAGATATGACAAAGATTGAGAAACTTCAAAAATAAAACAGACATAATGAGTCTTTAAGTCATTGTTTTTGACAAAAATAATACCAGGTTCACAGATAAAGATGTCACGTTTAATCCCTCTTTCCTTAAACCCCACCAGGACTTCACGATGACCCTGTACCTCAGGCATTACTGGAAGGACGAGCGCCTGTCGTTCACCAGCAGCACCAATAAGAGCATGACGTTCGATGGCCGTCTGGTGAAGAAGATCTGGGTCCCTGATGTCTTCTTCGTCCACTCCAAGAGGTCCTTCATCCACGACACCACCACGGAGAACATCATGCTGCGGGTCTTTCCTGACGGACATGTCCTCTACAGCTTGAGGTGTGTAGCATTTCACCGTCTGAATGTTGGTCACAGGAACCCAGAGAAGCTATTAATAATATAGGAATACCTCCCTCATTGGAAATTATATGATTAAATGGTTGCTCTTGGCTGTTAAATTCCAAGTATTAATAATACCCAAGAAAACATAAAGTGTTGTCCTTTATTGGCTTAAAACTAAAAGCATAGTTTGCAGTAAGCTCGCTGTGCTGTATTGTTGGCTTGATTTTCATTAAGTAGGGTAGGCATAACATGCAAAACCACTATTTGATCTTGAAACAAAGAACAGATAACACCCATGATTTAGACCACATATGAGTCAGAAAAACATGACAGGACTATCTTTGTGGTAAAAGTCCTTCATTTTGTCTTCATTTTGTCTTCATTTTGCGGCCTTATTATCTCCTTCTGTTTAATATAAAGTGGGTCGCTCCGCTAAGCCTAAAGGAATTTCCTAATCTCTGCTTATTAGAGATTCTTCATGTCAATGCTACTTCAGGGTCTCTCTTAGGAATAACATTCTGGAATAAAACACTTCATTGGAATAGTTTCATTTGGAAACAATGTTGACACAAAGTGACTTTCCTTCAGACTGAGACAGACAGGGACCTTGTGTCTGTAAAGTGGTAATTTCAGAAAGAATTTCCATCCTCCAACAGACCCTGGTAATTGAAGGACTCGCCAAGACATTGCTTGTTTCACTATTGGACATTCAATACAATAATTCTGGTTTGTGATGTTTTATGTATGTGTGTTTGTAGGTAGCAAAGGCTCACATGAAGTCTCATTCAGAGCGACAAAAATGTTATGTTTGCATGTCATACTTAATGTAAAGTCTTCTATTAGCAACAGTTACATACAGTTATAGCACAAAAAAAATAATTTCTCTCCAGTTTTTCTAATATATCAACAAGACTGCTAACAGCAAAACCCTTAACAAAATAGGGCAGTGCAGGAATGAGTCCGAAAACCCAGAAATTAGTTAGCATTTACCACTTCCCGTTCTTTAAATGTGTTTTTGGTTTGATGCCTGAAATAAGGTCTGTGACAATAGCTTAAGAAGATTTCATATTTTGTTGTGAGGCATAAAATACGTCAATAAGTGTCTGAAGTCTATGTAAATATTTCTCTATATTTGTTAATTTTATAATAGATTTTAAAATGCTTTTTATAATAGTTCTATTTTTGTTACTTTAATTCTCTTACTGTATTTATGTATGCACCATAGGCATCAATTCAAATTCCTTGCGTGTATAAACCTACTTGATATTCTGATTCGGTTAAGCTAGATGTGTGTCACAGGTGTGCGTGGTGTGACTTTGAAAAGTTTATAATGATTTATAATGTGAAGCTGTGCCGACACAAAACAGCAGACAGAGCTAAAGGTCAACAATTAGGGAATTTGTTATAATGAACAATTTTAAAACTGATCTGAAATACAGAGGTTAAGAGGAAATAAAATGTCCCTGCAGAAAAAGAGTCCAAGCTCATAAACAAATAAAGATGGACTCCCCTGGAGGAGTGATGATGAACACAAAGAAATACTTCAAATATTAACAATAGAAACAGTTAAATAATTGAGCTTTTTTAAAATACAAAAAGTAAAAATGGATCCTGAGTTTATAACATGAGGTGGGTTCAGGCGGGAGTGGGAACCCGATCACAGACTCTTCCTACGTGTTGAGAGAAGAACATCGTGTGACCTGTGGTTTCTGCCCTGTCCAGATTAATGTGTCATTCAGTGCCAAAGATTAAAAGATAACATAAAGTAGATTTTTTTACCCAGGTCACAGAAAACAATAGAAAGACTCACAAAAGATAATAATGGAGGTATTTTCCAGTCACTGTTTGATTAGATTGAGAGACTCAGTGACATCATGACATAACACCCTGTTGACTGTGTGTCTCTGTGTGTCTCTGTGTGTCTCTGTGTCTCATCTGGACAGAGTGACAGTGACAGCAGCCTGTAACATGGACTTCAGCCGCTTCCCTCTGGACTCTCAGACCTGCTCCCTGGAGCTGGAGAGCTGTGAGTACCTCTCTGCTTCTCAAATCATAAAGGCTTCTTCCTGTGAGGGACCCGACCAAAACAAGAGGTCACATGGTTTTACTTCCATTCAGGGGGGGACCAAATCACTGCCACATCACTAGACCGTGGTGGAAAGTAACTAAGTACATTTGCTCAAGTACTGTACTTAATGTGAAGCACTTGTACTTTATCTGAGTATTTTCATTTTTTACTACTTTATACTTCTACTCTACATTTTGGAGCAAATTTCGTACTTTTCACTCCAATACATGTAGTTTATTTATTATTTATTTACTAGTTACTTTATCAATTATTATTTGTACACACAACACTTTTAAAATACGTTTAAAATATGTATATTTGCTATAGATTTAACCATCCAACATTATATTTAAGTATAGTAATACCATACAGTAGGTGGGTTAAGAGAAAATGAAGTGGCAACAATTTACTTTTTTATAAAAAAAAGATTTCACAGTTCCAAATTGTTAAATGTGAAGATTTTCTGCTTTTGCTTCAAAATATTTAAAGTTCTAAAAAGTTTTTTTCTGCATTGCAAAAGATAAAGTATAGGATCATGACAGGAATCATGTTAACTCATGCTTTAACATTCTGTTTAATTGATCTTGTTATATCCGTAGAAACAAAGAATAAATAATCTGTTATTTTTTAACTTCATGTAGAGGTAGGACCCTTTGAATATGTATAGAGATTAACGCAAACTGTCAGTACAGATATTTGAAATAAGGACAGACTGTAAAGCAGAAAAAAAAACACAAAATTAGGACAGGGAACTAGCCAAGGCACATATACCTAAACAATACCCAAACACACAGACACACACACATATACATTCCTATATTACCAACAGTGGACTGTCATGCTCCCACAACATGTGTTAACTGCTTTTATTTATTAAGCAGAAATACAGTTAAAGGCAGTCTGCCACTATATAAATGGGTGAAGTAAGTCATTAATTGTAAATCAATGTAATCTGGAAAACACAAGCTTCTCTAAACTTGAACAGATGGCATACCATGCTGCAGGTTTATTAAAATGCATGGCCAATGAAAACAAACAAAACAAGTGAATACAAGTCTGCCGACACATTGTATGCCATCAGCTATTCTGGGCATATTTAACTGATTCTTAGACTGGTCAAAAACATATTTTCCTCTAGACTAGTCAATGCGTGTCTTGACTCTAACAACAGACGGACCACCTACAGATTACAATGGAGAGCTGTTCCTATGTACCTGCAAGTTAACTACTTAAAGAAGCCCTGTCCTGCTGCTTCCCTGTAAAGTGTTATATAGGTTTTTGTGCATGTAAATGGTCTGCAAACAAGGATAACATCCCTATATTCCCTCATGTGTGGGAGTTTCTCTCCCACAAATGAAAATGAGCATAATAGTGTCCCAACACAAAAAAAAGGACATTCAGATATCAAAATGGTTATAAAGTCTGATGTTTAAATATATTGATATGTTTAAATTAATAGAAGGGAATGAGCTCATAAATGACATAGCAGTTGGAACTGAAAAATAGTTTACTTCTGAAAGGCTGTTTCATAAAAATGGACAACAATTTGTCATGAGCCATTTATTAGAAGCCTTGTTGGAGATGCGTTATTGCGTCTTAGAGTGAATCTGATTGGTTGCTGTGGTGTCCAGACGCCTACACAGATGAAGACCTGATGCTGTACTGGAAGAGCGGGGATGAGTCTCTGAGTACCGACGATAAGATCTCTCTGTCTCAGTTCCTCATCCAGAAGTTCCACACCACGTCTCGCCTGGCCTTCTACAGCAGCACGGGTACACAAACACACACACACACACACACACCCACACACACACACACACACACACACACACACACACACACACACACACATACATATTTCCAGTCTCTCTTAAACACAGTCGTTATTTTCTATTTTCTTGATTTTCATAGTTTTACCTCTTTTTTTATAATCTCATTATGACTTTGGAATATTTTCTGGTTGCAAACATGTCAATAAAGCATATTTAATTGAATTGGCTTGTAAATCTCAACTTTCTTGGAACTGTTTTTGGTCTCCACCGTCTCCTGAAAGAAAATATCTTATTTTTAGCTTACATGCACACAAACACAAAGACATGCATAAAAAGCTCAGACATGAAGTTATGTCTTCATTTGTGAATGGTTCTTGTTAGACGTTGTTCTTGCGTGCAATATCAGGATATTATGCAAATTACTGTGTCCCAAATAACCATGTCAGAATCAGAATACCTTTATTCTTCCAACAGAGGGGAAATGTACATTACAACAAAAGTATAGAGGCAAAAGAGAAAAATATTAATTAAGAGGCATGCATAAAATATCAAAAAAAGAAATTACACAATTTTAAAAAAAAGTACACATCAAGGTGGTAACAATAAGTAACAGTATTTTTAAAAATAACAAAATAAGTGAACAAATAAAGGTCTACAGTCAACAAACATAAATATTGCGGATATTTTTGACACCATGGTCGTCCCTCTATGTTACGACTGGGGCACACACGAAAATGATAGGACCCAAATGCACGACTCCAGACAAAAGATGATTCAAAAAATGAATTGACTTAAGGTGATAAGCAAGGCAATACAAACACTCGTGTAAAGCAAGGACTCCAAAAAATGAGTTTACAAAAAACTAACTTAAATTCACAGTAGCTCAGATAACAACTGGCTGACAAGTATCATAAGGGTCGAAACGATCTGGCACTTGGCACAGAGAAAACACAGAATAAATACACACACAAGGGGCTCTACAGGTGCAAACAATAAGGGCGGGGAGGTAATCAGGTCAGTGAACACACATGGGTAGGAGTCGAACTACCTGAAATGAGAAAGGAGATTATCAAAGTAAAACAGGAAATGACAGACAACAAAAAAGGGTTAGCAGACGCGGACTTGACGATATGAACTAAACAGAGAAATAATACAAAAAAATCTGATGAGACACAACACTGTAGCTCCAAACTCAGGACAAATGATACATCTGAGATCTGAGGAGGATATTTACCAAGAATATTTGGGGAAAATAGAAACATTGAGTATGAGTCAAGAGAGAAGCCCTTTAGCAGCCATAGTGATGATACTTTGAGCAAAGTAAGAAACGAGGCGACGTTGATAGAGACAAAGTGTTGGGGGGATATATGTGTCAACAGAAGCAGTCATTGAAAACCATCCCACAATACTCCACTTTAGTCTTTTTTTTTTTTACTGTTGACATAATTAATACAAAGTCGTGCATTGATTTAACAGCGGTTCAGTTACTAAACAGAAATCATTGTATTTTAGATTATGTTACCAGGGATTTCAAATAATTTAAACCATGCAAATAGAGACAGAGAGAAGAGAGAGGAACACTGAACTTTGAAGTTAGAAAGTGATTTACATAACATTATTCAAAATAAATATGAAAGAGGCAGGAATATCAATGACAGACAGGAAAACAAATCAGTAAAATGTCATTTAAATAAGTAATGGTAATCAAGTCTTGAAAGTTGTTTTAAACTTAAATTAGACGATCCAATTTCCAATATTACATCATAACTAAAAATATAGTATTTTATATGGAAATGAGGACAGCCAATGGAAGGATAGCAACTGTCCCTACAGCGTTTCGAATCATCTTCAAACACAGAGCAGCTCCCCTGCTGAGGTGGGACGAGATGATTGACAGCAGCAGTGAAGACAAAGAATTAAGGATTCATTTCACACCACTTTCAAATTATACAATCTTCAAAGTATGACCATGATTTCTCCATGTGCATGAACCCATTCACACAGAAATCTGTGTGTTTTGGTGCCGTTACATTCATTTAATATCATGAGAATCACAATCGGTTTTATTACCAAGTAGGTTTACACATATGAATTTGCCTTGATGTAAATGGTGCATACAAAGACACAGAAGGAAGAATACATGGCAAGAAAAGTACTATTACGCAAAAAAACGCAAAAAAACGCAAAGAAAACATAACAAAAATCATCCATTCCCCATCAGTAGGTGGTGCTCGTCCCAAAACAGAAGCAATACAAAAAAACACCTCTGACAAATCATAATCCAATTGGACTCTACTTAAAACTTTATTTTTTACAGAAAATCTAATAATGTGAGAAACTGAGTAGAGTACAATAGAATAAAATAAGACACATACTATATTCAAAGTCAAGAGCTGTGCAGATTTAAAAATAGGTAGTGTGGAGCAATAGTAATTACATTATTCTCAAGGTAACGAAAAGGATACTCTGTGTTTTAATAAGCACATTGACCCTGTCTTGTGGTACCAGTTTGTTCATTTTGGAATCTTTGCTTGATCTTGAACTTGTTGTGTTTCAGGCTGGTACAATCGTCTGTACATCAACTTCACGCTGCGCCGCTACATCTTCTTCTTCCTGCTGCAGACATATTTCCCCGCCACGCTCATGGTGATGCTCTCATGGGTGTCCTTCTGGATCGACCGCCGCGCTGTGCCGGCCAGAGTCTCCCTGGGTAAGAAATGTGTTTTTAAAAACTTGTGTCAAATGTCTTTTGAAGAGATTTGGGTGCCCCCGGTCAGATGGGACTGTGGGATGATGAAAGCTGGCTGTGACATGGCTCCACACATTTGGAACAAACCCCCCCCACTGAGGTCCTCTCATGGCTCATACATTTGGCTGTACGAAGGTTGTGATATTTGTATACCTGATCTATAACTTCAATGCAGTTTGTTTTTCTCTTTTCTATTGGTAATATACGTATAATCCAGTGGCGGCCGGCCCATAGGGGCGCTAGGGGCGCCGCCCCACCTCTTCCCACATGTTTGATTGTCATTAAAAATATAATTAATTAAAAAAAATATATATATAATTAACAAGGTAAATATTACATAGTTGGTATCAGTAAAATGTATAATCTACAATAAAATGTCTTTTAAAATTGTTTTACGATGTAAACTCAAGTTAGTAAAACATGCCGCGGACCTCCTACAACCATTTTAACTTTCTTTTTCCCAAGGGTGGGGACTGACATTATATTATATTTTTTCGGGAACTAAATTGAATTGTAGAGACCAGAGGATAACTAGACTCTATATAATGATTTCTTATCGTCTAAATTAAACTTCGTAATATCGTGTCGTAAACAGTCGCCCTACCATATAATGCGTCCAAAAAAAGGACGAAGCTTCATCAAGAGAGAAACAAGTGGTATGGACACAAAACGTAGTGACTAAATATAGGAAGCTACAACAACACACACAACAGTAGAAACCAGTAAATGACATTGTTACATTTTCTAAGAAGGTGTAACGAGGAAATTCTCACTTGTCGTCCGTGTGTCGACGATTGTCACGATTCTACGATTGCCGACGATTGTAGGAGATGTGACCTTTGACTAGTCAACTGAAAATTAATGTAACAGTGTATGACATAAACGGATATCACTCTTACTTCGTCATGTTTTACATAAGTTATAAAACAAATATAACAAATAGATAAATGATTAGTGTCCCTATATGACATGAAAAAGATACACTTAAGACATATATCAACGACGATCATAGTTAATATAACAAATTAAACCCAAAAATGTAACATAAGAATGATATATATGAACAGCAGTTACATGTAAAGAAACACACATGACACGACCTCTGTTTTATTACAGGGTTATAACCTATTTAATTTCATATAATAAGTCTACTATGAGTTTGGAATCCTGTAAAATCCCCTGCATAAGGTCGTCATCCTAATTATGTGTACCACGATGGTGACTCATAAACACCGTCTTCTTGCACACATAAAGCCTAACCTAATCTTAAGATGGTCACCGCCGACCACCTTTATAAAAAACCACCCCGATACCTGTTATCCCTGGTTTTGGTAATGATCCGCCGGGACCCCTAAGAGGTGGCCTTCATTATAAACTCCTTTAATGGTGAGAATTTTAATACTGAAGACCACTACACATAAAAGTTCAACAATGACTACTTAAGAAGGTTTTGAGCACGTTGTCATGTCATCCGGGTGTGTTTGACGTCTTGTGACCACGAAACCTTCTGAGTTACTAAATTAAGGGTAAAATTTGTCCTCTGATTGATGCTTGTAACCACGCACGCACACACGCACACCACACGCACACAATATGAACGGTTGGAGGGCTAAAAGCGCCTTGAGGGTCTAAAGAACGGGAGGGGCAAGAGTTGAGGGCCCCGGTATAAAGAGGGTGTAAAGGAGTGCTAAAGACTGGTTTTAAGTCTAATATGAGTGCTTACAAAGGTGAGACTGAAAATTATGTCGATGTGGTTAACAAACCAAAGGCTACCATCACGCAGAGAAATCGTCGTGTGCGTTGAGTTCAAACTCTCCCACTCCTTCTACTTTTGACTTGTTCTTGGCTGTTGAGGTGGGAGGCGAGTGAGGAAAGGACATTTATGTCCAGGTCGGGAGTGTATACGAGGTACCACAGTGTCCGTAACGGGAATGTTGATGTTATCGTATCTACATTTACAATTAGATGTGAGGCCGCCAGGTGATCGTGGCCTCAGTGGACGTCTGCGTGGTAGGAGCGTTGATGAGCATCGCAGTGGAACCTATGTTTCAGGTTTTGTTGAGTGTCTGTGTATCCGGTCCCGCGACTGTCCCGCGGGAAACTCGTAGTCTAGACTGCTGCGACTAACCGATTTTAATACAAAGCCGCCGTATCAAATGTCTATCGTTGTCAGTCGAACAACCGACGACGACAAGACCGACTCCCGAGAAAGAATCGCGGGTCTGCTCTCTCCATTACTATGGTGCGACGCCGGTCCGTCCTTTGTACACTGAATAGTCA